GAAGTAGTTACATAGTGTAACTTTAACATATATTTAAATATATTATATATTTTAGACAATGTTGTCAAAATGGTCCCAGTTTTCACAGATCCGCGAAAACGATTAAAAATGCTGTATTAGGCATGCCATGCCAGTAGTTGGCAATGTCACTTTAACAAACAAAAAAACACTATGCACCTGCAAACATGCATTCCAATAGACTGCACAGGTAATCTGCATGCACATGACATAATTGTTTTCATACATTTGTGTTTTTGTAGTCTGTATTGTTTTCAAAAACTTTGAAACCCTTTTTTAAAAGTTTTTTACCCAAAAAGTGAAAGCTCACCTGTATTCTGTCTGGCCCATTGCCACACCTGTAATCCCTGCAGGTAACAGTGTATGAGGAAATCTCCGCCCACAGGTGAAAGGGGAGGAGCCTCTGCAGCACCATTACTCTGTCCACTACTGTCATCCACGCCATTACTGAATTCACACATACACAAATCAACACACGCACTATAACAGTTTCAGTCATACTTTAAATTTGTGCATGTGTGTGTGTGTGTGTTTACGTCTCTATTCCTGGATTCTCTGGTGGTTTTCTGTCTTGTGCCTCACAGAGTTGATGAAACTGACAACGTACCTCCTCCAGCTCTTCCTAAAGAGACAGACACAAAAACATAACTTTGACAAACACATAGGCTCCAGAACAGATTTACTAGACAGGTGTGTGATCTCACCTTGAGGGACAGCACCAGACTCTCTAGGTGAAGGGTGCGCTTGTTGCAGCCATGTCTTGTGTCCTCCAGCTGGCTCTGCAGCTCAGTGTCTCCCTGCTGAATCTGATTCAGCTCCAGCAGCGCACGAGAAAACCCTGCCCGCAACTCACACACCATGCCCTGAACCTGAACACAACATATCAAATGAGCCTGATTTTAAATCATTTTATGCAGTTTGCACTGTCAAAGAACAATTTCTCTCCAATTTAATATTTTAGAACTGAGAATAGCTAGAAATGTCCATGATTTTAAGACTTGCATTAATTTCCATGACTTTTTCAGGCCTAGTAATCACAAGTAATTACACACACCAACTCAAAATGTATTTTTAAGAGACGCATAACGTTTACAATGCTTACATAAGTTTCTTGTTATTTCTCAAACCTGTTGAAGAAAGTCTGTGTGTGCTCGTTACCTTAGAGATCTCTCTCTCCAGTTCTCCCTCATGAGATTTCATTTTCTGTGTGAGGATAATCAAACATCATTTAACAGTCTCAAAGGCTTGAAAACATTCACAGATTTATGTTGGTGTAGTAAGATGCACAACAGTTCAGTTCTTGTCTGATGCTTGCTTAGCAGCCATGGTCATCTTATTTAGTATTTTTAATTAGTCACTATACAAGAATAGTAAACTAGGCCTATGATCATCTTGCCCATTTTATGTTTTATTCACTACAAGAATACTATGATCATCTTATCCATTGTATGTTGTTTTGCGAGGTTATAGTCACCAAAGGAATAGTAAGCCAATATCAACTTATCCATTTTTAACAAGTTAGTCATTACAAGAATAGTAACTTATGATCATCTTATCAATTTTATAACAAGTTAGTCACTACAAAGATAGAAAGCTATCCATGATCGTCATCTTAACCAAATTTGTCATCTCACGAATAAGACAACCTGAAACCACCCATTACCTGAGAACAAAACGTAACAAACATAATAAATCATGTTGTAAAGATCATGTAAAACGCAGGGGTTGTGCGAGTGTTGTATGTATCATCAGCTCCTTATAAAAACACTGTTTCTATTAAATGTGAATCCAAGGCGCGCTTATGTTTTTACCTAGAGCTGGTCGCCCTGTCAGCGAATCCCAGGTGGGGGAAAAGATACCTGCCAAAGAGCTCCACCCTACAACAGAGAGTGAAAAATATTTATAAATGTTTCTCAAATGTATTTCCATAATCTTCACTTTTCTAAAACAGTCTTGTAAATGAAAAGCCTGTCAAACTAAGTAGCTCATCAAAAATGCAAGTAGCAGCCTGAAAACGACACAAAAGTAATTCCAAAAATGCAGCAGCAGCCTATTCATAAACACAAATCTTAATAATCAAACTAAGGCTATTATTATTAATAATACTAATAGTAAGAAATCTGACCGTATGCGCAGCGCGCGCTCACTTACCAGAGAGAAAATCTTCAAGTTTTCTTTTTAAGTTTAAATGTTATTCCATTTCTGTGACATAGTGACGGCCTCATGTTTTTGTAGTTCGCTCTCTCCCTGCGCTCTCGTGTCCCGGTGTCCGGTATATCTGGTGTCGTTCACTGCGTCTGTCTGACTGCGGTAGGAGAGGAGGAACGGAACACGGACTGCGCGCGCCGTCCGGTGTCTCGGGAACGTTCACTCACGCGCTCCTGCACAGTCAGCAAAAGAGCAGTTTATTATTCCACTCACATATCAGAGGTCTAGAATGAATTGAGATTGCTAGGGGCTCTGTAAGTGCTTTTGTGATTATTTTAACTTGGGTCAAAAATATTTTATTCAGTAACCCAGATATTACTTGTCTGCTACACCTCTGAATAAATACGTACATTGTAGTAGTAGCCCACTCCGAAAAGGCTGAAAAAATTATGTACGAGCGTACATCTAATTAATATTTAATGCTCAGATTAAGCGAGGGGGCGTGTCTTATACAAAAAGAGGCGTGGTTTTCAAACACGTTCAATGTGATTGGACGAGTCTTGTAAGTATGTTTTAAAATAACCGCGCGTGCGCAGTACGGAGCGGTGTGTCGGTGAGTTCGGTTGTTGATCTCTCTGTTGTTTATAACTTTATGTTTCTATGTAGCAGTTTAAATGCTTCTTTTGAATAACTTCGAGGCGTCAAACGCGTACATAGAAGTAGTTATGCAAACGAGAATATATATAAGCCTGTTATATGTCTCGTAGCATATTCAACTTTTATTTTTCATACATTTACACTGAAATCATCTAAATTTCTCACTCCCACATGATAAGCAAAGCCATAAGAACAAGCTGCTGTTTGGATAGCAGTTCCACATTCATCTCTCATATGTCAGTGTCGGGGTTGATTAATGGTCTTGGTTTCATTACAGTTGTGTCTATGGTAGACTGGGGCAATGAGGACAAGTGAGTTTGATTCATCTGACGAAGAGGACTTTGGTGAAGTGGAAGCCACACCTTTTCAAATCTCATGGTAAGCAAAACATACATATACACACTCAACAGCTGGAGAAATATTCATAGATTGAGAGTGATTTGTGGTGTGTGTGTTTTGCAGGTTGTCTCTGTCAGTGGTGGAGTGTTCCCAGTCTCTTGGCATTTGTTCCTTACCTGGTAAAATTAATGATTGAATTGTCTCTGTGCTTTGTGTGCTCATTTCATAAATATTCATAAACATTTCTGCTAGGGCTGCATGATTTGGGGAAATAAATTGACAAAGTTTTTTT